GCCCAAAAGAGCTTAGAGTTTTCACCAATGGTTCTAAAACAAATGAAGGTGTAGGTTCTGGAGCTTTCTCTGAAGACCTCAATATTCACATATGCACACCACTGGGTACCTATAACACGGTCTTTCAGGCGGAATATATGGGTATCATTCAAGCGGCCATAGCAATAGATGCTAGGAAGGTTAATGACTTCCCCATCAGAATACTGACCGACAGTAGGGCGGTACTACAAGCTCTGAGTTGCAATGGGGTGAACTCGGGACTAATATATGAATGCCATCAACGATTAAATGAGGTATGTAAAAACAACTATGTGACTCTGCAATGGATAAAGGGACACAGTGGATCCAGAGGCAACGATGCAGTGGACGAACTGGCCAGAAGAGGATCGGCTCTGGCCACTATAGGTCCGGAACCAATCATACCAATCCCCTTTGGTAACGTTCGTTCACTGGTATGTAGATACTTCACTAATCAACACGCTCAGCTTTGGAAAAATCTAGTAGACTGTAGACAAGCTAGGGAGGCCCTACCTGTAATAAACAGTCGCTTAACCAAAGTTTTAATGAGACTGAACAAGCCGCAGATCAGGATAGTAACAAGTGCTATCACAGGACACGGCACCTTTAACAAACATTTATTTACTATAGGTGTTACAGATAGTCCCCTGTGCAGCGCATGTATGGGGGAGGAACAAAAGGCGGCCCACGTGCTACTGAAATGTCCGGAGGTCGCTACGTACAGGGCTAAACATCTCGGCACGCCGGGATCACTCCCCGAAGTTGCATGCAACATCAAGGGACTGTTGAGCTTCTTCGGGGAGATCTCATGGCTCGAATAATCACATTATTCCTGCCCACACGCAAAATACGCGCATAGACGTGGAGTTGCGGAAAACAGCCCGTCGCAAACTAAACTAAACTAACTAAACCAAAATTGTACAAATTTTCAATTTAGAAAAATCGTTTAATACATTTTCACCATACAAATATGAAATCTCCTCATAAAATAAAGTGGCATATAAACTTTAATACCTTATTTCACTCTCTTAAGAGTTTGACTTTTACAAAATACTCTCTTAACCACTCGAATGTCAGGGTCATTTTGGCCAATATGGCGCATCTGTCGAGCACTTTCCGAAGTACTTAGTATATAACAAGTATACTAAGTATATATGTATATATATACTAAGTAAGCATATTGAAATCATATAACAATGGAAACGTTATTAAATAAGCTATCAGACTATACATAACAGATATATATGTTATATATATGTATGTTATATATATCATATATATGTTACAAATAGTTTGCTATCACTCGATGCCATATTATGGCGTTTGACAGATGCACATATTATTTGAGACGCCAGAATATGGCGTTTGTACAGACGAGGGGTTAATGGATGTCTAAGTAATAAAAGGAAGCTATATTGTCAGAATTACATATACCATACCAATATTTTTCATATACAACTTGCACACTCATTTTTAAACTGGGTAGATATTAACAAAATAAAAGTGTGTATATTATTATTTTAATTCAAGAGTACACCTCTTATGCAAATCTAATGCAGAGTTAATTTACAGCATCTTTAAACTTTGCAATGTTATGCTATGTATAACATATCACCATAGATGTTGATGCCTCTTATCCAATGTTTAGTTAGTAATTTACCTATAGTAAAGAACCACTTTATGTTCACCAGTAACCTATAGCTCTAGGTTCAAGGTTTACAGTTTTTTTACAGAAGATGGGGCAAACAGCTCACCTAATGGTGTTAACACTGAATAATCGATTTTACAATTAATCACAGATCCAGATGCCTCAAATCCTTAAAAAGTAATTTCATAAAAATGAAATATTATATTCAATTAAAAATCAGTTAGGATATGCATTAGAGGAGTAAGGTTTACATTATTACACACTGATTAAGATGCAAATCACTAACAAACTCGTGCCGTACAGTGCTAAAGCAAACCCTAATAAGCATACCTGGTATATCATCAGATTTCATGATGGATTCTTCAAAGATGTCCATGCGACGAGTTTCAAGCGCTAACCCCAGAGCCTGTCGATACTGTCCATCATCAAGGCATCGTTGAAACATGCGATTCACGATGGCCTCCAAGCGAGGATCGATTGGTTCTGATGAACTGTCCACAAACAAAGCCTTCCTTTTCTGAGTATAGAAATCGATTGCCTTTGCAATTGTTGTATCAACATATTCATTTCTTGCATTTACATCAAACAAATCACCTGCACCGAGTGCGTACGTCAATGAATCTTCGAAAGCACCCAGATGATAATACACTTTACTGGCCACTAAAGCTGCTAGTTGATGTTGCGAAAACACTTTATCTTCGTGGAGAATCTCAATTTTTTCAATAGATTCCGATATTTCTGGCCAAAACTGGTCTACAATATTATCCAATCTTTTAAGCGCAAATTCTTTTACTTCGTGCATAGGCTCATCGAGCAGGGATATTATCCCTGCGGCTGATGTGATATTCATTTTAATTGGTTTAGTTTTATTTTTAAATATTGAATCAAAAATCAATAACTTTTCTTTGTGAAAATATCAATGAAATTACAAACTAAAATGAGTTCACGTTCACGATGATTTGACAAATTCGTTTACTCCCATAAACAATTTAAGTCATAGATTATATAAAAATGTACTCTAAGGTCATAGAGTAGAATGGAATCGAATCATTTTTATTCAATATAGATAAAAAAAAAGATGGTTTGGAAGTCAGTGGGACTTTTTTTAAACATTAATTTACAATACGCATAAACAGTTAGAAGGCAGTATATTAATCATGCATTCACTTATATCATACATGATTAACAATAACCCCTCACATCTCCCATTAATAACAACTGTTTGTGTTCCATTATTTAAATATTAAGTAATAAGTTTAAGCGCTATGTTTTTACACCACAATTACGGGCTTTTAATAAGTATTGTAATCGCCACATTTCCACGTTTGTTGCTATGACATCTATATAGGGTCTAAAACGTTGTAATGTGACAAATCTGCATATTGTAAGGAATATTTTTCCGATTATTTGAATATTTTTGCCGATTATTCGCATAACAATGAATTTTAATCATTCAAACACTACGGTAATGTACATAGCGACATATCATTGAAATGACGTCAAGTAAAAAAAGTTGATACTGGTTATTTTTTAATATTTTGCTTTGTTTGAAAGATTCAAATTTAAATTAGTTATAAAAACCTATACACGTTGTGATGAAATATAGATAACTTCATAATTCTTCGGTTTTGCGTAAAATGTTATTTTAAATAATGTGAGTACGCTTATGCAAAGTTATTGCGGAATGATTAATGTGAAACGTCAAAAGGTATTTCTTAGATTTGGTTGACTATAGTACCTAAATAAAATACAAGTCATACCAAAGGACCACAGATTAACGATCTTTGACTACCCTTATAATTGGCGAATCGAAACAACCAAAAACAATGGGTGCGTTTGGCAGAAAAAAGCGCTAGCAAGCGCTTACAAGCGCTAAAATAGTTTTCCGCCAGGACACGATTGCTACTTCAGTAGCGCTGACATAATCCGCCATTTTGCTTATTTAATATGTTTGTTTTGAAGTAGAATTTAAAAGTTGTTTTGTGCAATATTAGTTTTAAGTAATATAATGATATGAATAAACATATACATGTTATTAAAAATTCATGATTGGTAAGTTTTTAATATGAATACTTTACAAACATATATTTAAATTAGGTTAGGTTCCCCCGGTTAAAACTAACATCGTGTCCTAGAGGAAAATAGCAACTTACGATTTGACAGCGCTCACCGCTTACGATCGCCATTTTGCTTACAAGCGCTTGCTAGCGCTTTTTTCTGCCAAACGCACCCAATCACAGTGTCTGTCAACGTCACCTATCAAACGTATTACGACCAGTGTTTCCACTTTTAGGGATTTTTCCCTTTTTTAGGGAAAACTAAGTGAAATTGTACATGACTAGGGATTATTTTAATAAGACAGGGATTTAGGGAAATTCGGGGAAAATCAAAACTTATGATGGTAACCCTGTTGTAGTATGTACAAACTCTATGGTGCCACCGCCCGCGGTTTATTTTTGAAAGGGGAATCCCCCGTACTATTAATGAATGTAATCCGTCCAATTTTAATTTGTCATTTATAATATCAGTTCCGTTGTTTTAGATGTAGTCGGAACTTAGTCATATTATGTATACCTACCAAGGCTTGCTTGATTTGATTAGTTTTGTTTCATTTACATACTGAACTCCGAATTGCACCTTGGAATATAAAAAAAAAAATTTTCTTTTCGATTAAATTGTAAGTAATTTAAAATGGAAGAAGATAATGAAACACCATCCTCTTCGACTTTAAAGTCAGCAAGTAAGGAAAGAAAATACGTGCAAAAATTTAAAACTTCTTGGCTGGAGCATCCTGATTTTAAGACTTGGCTGAAGAAATCTGATAAAGGTGAGACAAAAGCTTACTGTAAAATATGCGATTGTGATCTTGTATGTGGAATGTCCGAATTACTTAAACATAAAAACAGTGCTAAACACACCAAAAAGATGACTGTTATTTCGCAATGTGGAAGAATGTCAACTTTTTTGAACAAAAAATCAGACGCACGCTACTAATGTATTAAAAATGGAATTAAAAATGTGCGGCTTTCTTGCGAAACATGATCTACCAATTTCTTTAGTCGATGATTTTGTATCGCTGTTGCGAAACTTGTTTCCGGAATCGAAATGTTTAGATGACGTGCATCTAGGAAAACAAAAAGCAACAAATATTTTACGTCAAGTCACAGGAGCGACATATAAACAAGAAGTGATTGATATCATGAAGAATAGCTATTTTAATATAATAATAGATGAAACAACAGATCTGTCTGTGAAAAAACAGTTGGCTATTATTATAACATTTTTTAATAGTTTGACAAAAAAAGTAGAATACAGATTTTTTGATTTGATAGATATGATTGATGGAACGGCAAAAGGTATCCTCCAAACAATAGAAGGAAGTTTTTCAAAACATGAAGTACCTCTTGATCATGTCTTCGGACTTACATCAGATACGACGAACGTAATGATGGGAAAGCACAATTCAGTTCAGGCTTTACTAAAAACCGAAATTCCACATCTGGTCGTTATAGAGTGCTCATGCCATTTAATACATCTCGCCACATCATATGCCTCCCGTAAACTACCTAAAAATTTAGAAGATTTGTGCCGTAATATACCTGCATATTTTCATATGAGCCCTAAGCGAACAGAAGCACTCAAACAGTTTCAGGATTTTCTAAAAATTGACCAACATAAATTACTTTCTGCAGCAAATACAAGATGGTTGTCACTTCAAGCTTGTGTCGACAGGATATTAGAGCAGTATGATGCATTGAAATTATTTTTTACGGGGGCAGTTTTTGAGGATCCCTCTAATACAAATGATTCCATCTTGAACAGTCTTAACAACCCATTTAATAAAGCTTTATTACACTTCATGAGTTACGTCTTCTCTATAACTAACGATTTTAATACATTTTTTCAAACAAAATCACCACAATTATTTATACTGCCAGTGATGGTTCGGAAAATGTTGAACACTTTTTTGTGCAACTTTGTCAAAAAGGAGCACCTGAATCTGAGCTCGGATCTAAAGAGCCTTAAGCAAATTGACGTCACTAAAACAGAAATTCACCTCAATAATGATCATATATACGTTGGTATGGAAGCACATGCGATACTTGAAGATTTAAAGACAAAAGCCCCAATAGAAGAAGTGAACAAATTTTATGCTAGTTGTCGTGAATTTTATGTGGAAATAGTATTGCAAATCCAAAAGCGGTTCGACTTGAATGAGAAACTTTTCGACATATTGAAGTATGTGGATCCAAAAATAGCAAGAAATCTGGAGAAACAATCAGTGAAAGATGTTTTTGATAAATTTAACTTTTTAACGACAAAATGCAACATGCAAAAAGCAGATAACGAATGGAGAAATCAAGCTCTTATAGACTTAAAGCATTTTGGAGTTGAAAGCGAAGAAGAATTAAAAAAACATGCCAGCTGACATTTATTGGAATAAGGTTCTAAGCATGAAAGATTGTCATGGTAATTTCATTTACGAAAATCTTGAAGTAGTTATTTCAGTTTTACTAGCAGTTCCATCTTCAAATACTGAGGTAGAAAGATTATTTAGTATTCTAAAAAATGTAAAAACAGATAAAAGAAATAGACTTTCTAACGAAACTCTGAACGGCTTGTTTCACACAAAGTTCGGAATGCAAGCAAACAATTGCTCAATTTTAGAACCCAACAGTGCCATGATAAGTGCAGCAAAATATTACAAAAGTAATGATTCAGCTTCTAAATCTTCTGTCTGATCTGGTTTTTGGTGATTGATCTTTTGTTGATTTATTAATAAATATTCAAAATAATAAATTATTGTATAATTTCTCGAATAAAAATATGCTCCTTAAAAATAGGAATTTTTAAGATCGTTTAGGGAATTTTAGGGATAAATCCTAAAAAAAATAGGGACAAACCAAAATTGTAAGTGGAAACTCTGATTACGACTCGTAATTTACGAGTTACGACGTGTATATACGTACACAACTATACAACTCAAACTCATTCTATTCATTTAATATAATATAGACGTGAGACATCCGTTAGAAGCTGTACTAAAATATCTTTTAATAAAATTATACAAAATGCTTGACTTATTTAGCATCTTTAGTAAAGGAGGGATAGTGCTATGGTGTTTTCAAAGTACCAGCGAGATTTTCTCGCCTTCTGTTAACGCACTAATTCGCAGTGTAATCTTGCAAGTAAGTTCAGTGTCGTGCGAAGCCCTTCATGAAATAATTAATCATGTTTTCTGACGTGGAAGTTTGGACGTGAATTATTCAAGAAAATATCAATAAATATATTTTAACGTTTACACTTTCTAGTTTTTAACCTATTCGACTTTTAATTTCAGGAACGGTCTGGAAATAATACATTCAATCATAACTCCTTAACACTCCAGTACAAACTTGATAACGAGTTTGAACTCGTGTTTGTCGTAGCGTATCAACGCATACTACAATTATCTTATGTGGATAAATTTTTAAATGATGTGCATTTGGAGTTTAGGGACAAGTATAAAAATGAGCTACAAACAGGGCGACACAATATGGAGTTTGAGTTTAAAAAGTGCTTCGACAGGGTCCTCAAAGAATGTGAACACTGGGGTATGAAATAATTAAATTTTATTTTTTAATGCTTTATTTACAACATATAAATCTGAATATTATATACAGAATTATAAATAGAATACAGTTTTAATTAATTGTTTTGTTATTCTTAAATTTTTGAGTGTACAGGATCACACAACACATTTCGTCAGTGAAGTTCTAACAGTGCGTAAGTCATTTTTTGGCGGTTTCAACATTTTAACGCCATTCGGTGAATAACGATAATGCTCCTTCTTTTGACCAATCAGAAAAGAAATAGCTAACCAATCATGCCATATTTTTCGATTAAGCTGACACCACGTAAGTAAACACACAGGCCAACGCAGCATAAGTCAGTCAGTCAGCATACATATTTGTAACTTGCATAGTGTACTGTGAGATTTATTGCTAGCAAAGGTAATTATTTGCGTTATTCAATGGTATACTTATAATAAAATTATTTTTTATTTAGTACTTAAGCTACATTACATAAAACATTTATGAATTATTTTGAAATAACAATTATAAATTGCCGAATTGAAAATTGTTTGACTTACGCAGTGTTGTCGATATGATTAACATAGTGTTATTATAAGTTTTATTTTCTTGCAGGGCTTATAAATGATGGATGCTACAACAAGTAACAGTGAAGATGAGGAAATGATTTTAGATTTGTGTAAAGTTTACACAAATCTAAAATCATTTCCTCATCTTCACTGTTTTCACTTCACTTCACTTTACACTGTAAAGAATTGAATATTAGAGTTCCTTTAAAAAAACATAAACAAAGAAATATACCTTTATTGGAATTAGAAAATATAGACATCAATAACTTGACTATTCAAATACTACCTGAATTTCCGTCTCCAAGTATTGATGAAATTTCTCAATTTTTAAGTAAAGAACTATCGCAGGAACCAGTGACGCTTTCAACTGAGACAGAATGAATAGCACAATATTCTGTTGAAGAAATGTCACAAGAAACAGTTCCAACTTTATATGAAGAACTGCCACAAAATTTAGCTCCGCCTTTAGTGAAACAGTTGCCACAAAAATCAACTCCACGTTTAGAAGTACAAGTGACCCAGGATCCACCTCCATATTTAATTGAAGAGCAGAAGCAACCGTCGGATGATGAATATGGAGATCTCAATTCAAATAGAAAAAGAAGCTTAAAGGGGTTCGGAAACTCTAAGAAATGGGACAAATCAATTACAAAAATTAAACGTATGAAAGGAGAGGAGTATGTGGGATATCGTAGAGATAAGAAGGTTTTAGGAAATGAGAAATTCAAAGTACTCCATGATATACCTCGTCCAGAATGTGAAATGGGTCCAAGGTGCACTTCTACATTTTGTACCAAGTATAAGGTCCATGGTTGTTCAAGCTTGGCTGAAGATGAAAGGCAGAATATATTTTCCAAGTTCTGGAAAGACGTCATGGAAGCAAAGAACTGTAAACAGTATGTCGTATCTCGTGTTTTGATTTGCGAGAAAAAGCATGAAAAAATACAACTTCTAGAAGGTGTGATAGCAAACAATACTTTTTGAATACGTCTATTGGAGGAATTCAGGTGTGTATGCAGACATTTTTAAAGACTAGGGTTAGAAGAGTCTACTGTAAGATGCTGGGTGGCATCTTCTGAGCATGGGATATTTGCTATCCCATGCTCACTATTACTAATGACATCAATGAAGAACGAATTATCAAGAAAGACGACGTAGTTTTTCTCAAAAAATTTTTTGCTTCATTGCCTAAAATGCTATCGCATTATTGCAGAGCGAGTACATCAAAACAATACTTAGAGCCGATTATTGATGACAAAACCGCATTGTACAGATTGTATACCATAGAGTGTGAAAAAACTGAAAGAGCACCTCTCAGCCCCTGGACCCTTTGCAAAGTATTTGATAAGCTAAACCTGTGCCTGTTTACACCAAAACAGGATCAATGCGACACTTGCTGCTCACACAAAGTGGGAAATATAACGGATGATAAATATAATGCTCATATACGCTTAAAGGACATGGCCAGAAATGAAAAATTAAGGGAATAAAGATAGAGCTCAACAATTCGGTGATATACATATTTTTACGCATGATCTACAAGCTGTCAAGTTATGTCCTCAGTTAGAGGGCAGTGCTCTTTATTACAAAACTAAACTCTGCTCTGTACATAATTTCACAATGTATAATCTAGCAACCAAAGATGTCTATTGCTACTGGTCCGATGAAACAAATGCTGGTCTAACAGCTTCCGTATTTGTTTCATGTATCATACACATACTGAGAAGAACTTTAGAGCAAAAATGTGTTCCTTTACCCTTTTTTCTGATGGTTGTACGGCACAGAATAGGAATGTTTTCCTTAGTAATGCACTTTTGCAATTAGCAATAGAAAAAAATGTCATAATCGAACAAACGTTTTTGGAAAAGGGACATATGCAGATGGAGTGTGACGTAGTGCACAGTTCCATCGAGCAAAAACCAAAAATAAGGACATCTTCCTGCTCTCTCAATATGCAGTACTCTCCAAGGAAGCTAGACCTAAACAGCCTTATATAGTTGAGTATTTGAGTTACGAGTTTTTTGAGGACTACACTCAAAAGAATACATTTGTTTATGACTATACGGCCAGGTCGAACAACCAACTATCCTACTGTCACAGACTTAAGAGTGCTACAATATTAACCCTAATGGAATAATCAAGTACAAATTAAGCTTTGATGCAGAATATCAAGAGTTGTCCGCGGCAGAACTCGACGTAGGATGCTGATGATCCCTGAAAACCTACCCAGTAGACTAAAGCTTTACCAAAGTGCAATAAAAATAGCTGAAAGTAAATGGCGACATTTGCAAGAATTGAAGGCCGTCATTCCTTTCGACTGTCATAGATACTACGATTTTCTACCTTATTGATACATTATTTATGGATCCCTTATTATGTTGTTAGTATAGGCAAATACATTTGAAAACTTTTTAAAAAAAATTTTTATTTGACTTATAGTTTAAGTTTATTTTGATAATTTTAAAACACCCAGTTTGTTTAAGAAAAAAAAATGTTGATTAGTAAAATAATGTTGTAATTTGATAATAATTCAGTTTTGTAAGTTCCTTAAACATAACACAAATTTGATTTAAGCTTTTGTAATTACTTTCCAATTATCTGACTAAGAAACATGACGTAAGCCAAAGCAAATTTTAATGAACAGAGCAGAAGTCACGATAATACCTTATTAATAAAAATAAATTTATATAAAGGAATATTTTGAAAGCGTGTTTATGAGTGAGGAAACAACGTGTGTACTAAGTGAAGTAGAAACTCTGAAAGAAGAGGAAAGAGGTAGCGAGATAAGTATAGATGAAATAATGAAAGCAATGAAAAGCATGAAAGCAGGTAAGGCTGCCGGATATGATAGAGTTTCACTCGAAATGCTAAGGGCTAGAGAGGAAGTGGTGGCAGGCCTGCTGCACACCTTGTTTAATTTATGCTGGGAACTGAAGAGGGTACCGGTGGACTGGTGCAAAGCCATGATAGTCCCAGTATATAAAGGAAAAGGGTCGCAGCAGGACTGTAAAAACTACCGTGGCATAAGCCTTCTTGGCATTGTGGGAAAACTGTATGTTAAGGTACTGATTGAAAAGGTCATGAAAGAAACTGATGGAAAAATTTGGGATGTGCAAGCGGGATTTAGAAAGGGAATGGGATGTACAGATCAAGTCTTTTCCATGCGCATGATTGCGGAGAAGTTTTTGGCCAAAAACCAAAAGGTTTTTTGTGCGTTCATGGACTTGGAAAAGGCCTATGACAGAGTGGATAGGGATGTGCTATGGCAAACACTGAAATCATTTGGGTTGAGTGCTGGCTTGATACAGGCATTGGAGTCTCTTTATAGGGACTCTAGTGCTTGTGTTAGGATCAACGGGGTGTACTCGGACTGGTTTGACATCCATAAAGGTGTCAGACAGGGCTGTGTGGCTTCCTCATGGCTGTTCAACCAATTCATGGACAGTTGTTTGCAAAATTTGAAAGTTGAAGAATGCGGATTAAGAATGGGTGAGTTAACCGTCAAATGCCTTTTGTACGCCGATGATCAAGTTATCCTTGCGTCGTCGGCTGCCGAGTTGCAAATGATGATTACATTAATGAACAGATCATTAAAAGAAAGGGGTATGAAAGTGAACGCAAGTAAGACGAAGGCTATGGTTTTTGAAAGAGAAGAAAGTAAAACGATTTGTGAAATAAGAATAGAAGGGGAGTTGATCGAGCAAGTAGATGAGTTTGTATATTTGGGCTGCGTATTTAGCAGGGATGGGAGATATGATAAGGATACAGAACGACGAGTGAATGCGGGAAATAGAGTAAATGGGGCCCTGCACTCTATTGTGAAGAGTCAAAATGTATCAAAAAAGGCACGTATGGCAATTCAGAATGCTGTGTTGGTCCCTACTTTAACGTATGGTAGTGAAAGTTGGGTGTGGCAGAAGAAGCACGAGAGTAGAATCAACGCAGTAGAAATGCGGTCGTTAAGGGAGTATGTTAGGGCTGAATCTGAACGACAGGGTAAGAAATTGTGTAATAAGAGAAGAGTGTGGTTTGCAAGATGATGTTGTGACCGGGATTAAGAAAGTAATGCTTCGGTGGTTTGGTCATGTGGAAAGAATGAATGAGGAAAGAGTGACAAAGAAAATTTTTGTTGCAGAAGTGATTGGCAGAGTCGGAAAGGGACTTCCTAGGCGAAAATTTATCGACCAAATTGGCGATTTATTGAAAACGGGCCAAATTAGGAGTACCCTTAACCGACGAGCATGTATGCGTAGGTGTATGGATGTGAAGGAGGCGAGAGAGGTGTGTCAGGATCGTGCCAAATGGAAGTCTGTAGTCTCTGCCTACCCCTCTGGGTGACAGGCGTGAGTGTTTATGTATGTATGTATGTATGTAACTTTATATAAATCGTTTTTATTTCTTTAATAACTTAATTTTAAATACATTTTCCCAATAAATATACCTCAAATATAGCTAATAATAATTTTACAATGGTTATTTTGCTCTCCTGTAAAATAGACAATTTTGACTTTCGCACTGTTAGAACTTCACTGATGATTTAGTCCATGCCATAGTACATTAGTAGATAGAGTAGTGAAGTGAATGCGTGATGAAGTTCTTATATATTAATTATATATATTAATTATAATACGCCAATTTTTTTATAGGACGTTGGTGACAACGAGCTCATAGTCCACTTGATGGTAAGTGGTTGCTGCGGCCCATAGATATCTACATCTATCCTTGATCACAAATCAAAATGCAGATTCGTTGTCACCGGTTCTCTACACTTACCATACGAAACACCAGCATTAAGCTTCTATTTTACGCTAGTATTCTGTGAGTGTGGTCTTATCCCGGTTGAACTGACCCATTCATACTCCAATCATAATATAGCTGCTACATGGCACTACCACATATAAAATGTCGCACTATTGGGCACAGACCAGCTCTTATCTGAGGGTTTTAGGACAAGAAAGTGTTCTGCACTGCCTCAATATATACTTGTATATACTTATATTGCATTACATCTGTAATCTAGAGGGAGGGTAGGCAGAGTACAAAAAGCACATATCTATAATGAATTAAATTTCTACATTAATTTTCAATTGGTTTTTTTAAATTAACTATTTCACTTTTGCAGCAAAGTCACAAGCTAAAATTCCAAAACAAATGAGAACTTTCGAGGATTCTCAAAAATCTAAGAAGACTGTAGCTTCTATGATAGAGAGAAAAGGAGATGAAAAAAATAAGAAATCTGGTAAGTTTTCGCATTTTGATGCTTTATTTTACAAATTATAGTCAATATGGGATATACCAACTTTGTTGAGAACAATTGATCAGTTATTGCATTGAAATAAATATGTCCCAGCAAACTTTTAATTAAAATTATATATGTATATAATTTTATATGTATATATTTACATATATTTATATAAACATGTATGTTGTACCCATGTGTATTTATAAGTTTGTCTGTTGTCAGGCTATTATTTAAATATAGTGTGTATGAATGTGTAATATTATAATGTATAAAATAATGTCTTATTATTATACAGTAATACCCCACTTTACAAGAGGGATACGTTCCAATGTTAATCATGTTAAGCAAAATTCGTATATAACGGGGTATGCCACAAAAAAGACTGACATAGTATATATCAAACCCTTTTATTTTCGTAAATCTCACAATCATGTAATTTCTAAAAGTAAGTTAGTAAAAGTTTAATTATTTTCCTTCCTAAAATATTTGTCTAAAGTTTTCTGAGTAGCATTTTGCTTTCGCTCTTGAAGAATCTTTTCATAGTCAGCTACACCATTTTTAATACATTGCTGCAAATTTAATACGCGACTTACATCTGTGTCGGAAGATTCAAGAATTTCAAGGCCTGACTGAATTTTCGACAAAACCTCTAGTATTATACTCGACATTAGCACCCTTATTTCTTCAATATCCTCTTGTTTGTTTTCGTCAGAGGTAGTTCGCGTTGCCATTAAAATTTCTTTGCTAAGAGGCTCGCTATCAGCTGCAACAAATTGTTCCAGTTCTTCTATTGCAACATTTCCAAGCTCTGATACCTCTAACATCACGGCAATATCCACCATTGCCTGTCTTGAAGCTTCTGAGTCTCTCATACGTCGATTTGGTGCGTCAACTACGCCTGGCCATAGATTCCGCCACACTCTATTCATACAACTTGATTTAACTTCGCCCCAAGTTGAAGAAATATTTTCTACACCTTTTATTATGTTATAAGACTTCCACCAGTCCCGCAAAGATTGCTGTCCTTCCCCAGCAGTTTTCTGAATAAGCTCACGGAACGTGCGGCAATGGTAATACGCTTTGAAATTAGCTATTGCTCCTTGGTTCATAGGCTGTAATATGGATGTGGTGCTTGGGGGTAAAAACATCACCCTCACTTTTAAATCTCTCAACACATCAAATATCACAGGATGACCAGGAGCATTATCCAAAATTAATAAAGCTTTTCGAGGTAGTCCATGACGATCACAATAACCCTTTACTTCTGGACAAAAGCTATTCGTAAACCAGTCTGTGATCACTTTTCTCGTAACCCAAGCTTTCGGTTTGACCGCCACACAACAGGTAAACTCTCTTTGTCAACCCCACGCATAGCTCGTGGTGTTTTGGACTGTTACTCTAAAAGAGGTTTTAACTTGAAGTCACCGGTTGCATTACCGCCTAAAAGGAGAGTTAAATGGTCTTTCGCTACTTTAAAGCCACTTGCTTGACGTTGTTCCTTGGCAATAAATGTTCGAGACGGCATTTTTTTCAGTAGAGACCCGTTTCATCACATTAAACACAAGACAAGCAGGAGTTTTCTTCTGCATTATAAAACTTTGCAATTAGCTTGGAAATCCTGTCGCTGCTTCAATATCTGCGCTTGCTGCTTCGCCACTAATTCGAATGTTGTGAAGATTAACCCGCTTTTTAAATCTGTCAAATCAACCCTTGCTAGCTGAAACTCCTGGATTTGAAGACCCTTCATCATCTTGCTGTTTAAGGCTCTCATATAGAGAATTTGCTTTCGTACATATGAGATCTTAACTTAAAGGTGTATTCTTTTTATTTAAATCTTCTACCCATGGACCTGGATAAGTTACGAGAAGATACTGCTAAGGTTGACTGGTCAGTAGTTGCGAATGCTGGTTCGGTTGATGAGCAGATATCTATTTTTAACAGCATACTTACACAACTGTATGACATTCACGCTCCAATTCGTCCAGTTCGAATGAAGCATCTTCCTGCCCCCTGGCTCACTGCCGATATAAAAAAACTTCAAGAAAAAAAGAACATAGCGAAATCTAAATATCGTATGAATCCTAATGATTCTAACCGAGAGAAATATAACAGGGCACGAAATCGCTGCAATATGGTGTGTAGAGATAGTCAACGACGCCATATCCATAAATCTGTTGTTGAGGAAGATAACTCAACTAAAGTTTGGAACTTTCTCAAATCTTTAGGGGTTGGAAAAGCAAAGCGTAATGTAGAATCTCTTAAGTTTGAATTTAAATAAGCTTAATGCTCATTTCCTCTCTAGCGCCACTATAGACAGTGCTACGAAGAAAAATACACTTGCTCAACTTTCTGCTTTTATCAACTCCCAATTTTTCCTCTTTTGTCTTTAGCCAAGTTACTGTCAGTGATGTTAAGAAGAATATATTAGCCATTACTTCCGACGCAGTTGGTTCTGACAGCATTAGTCGTAAGATGATTATCCCAATACTCGATCTTTTAGCTCCTATACTTACACTTATTTTAAACCGTTCCCTTGACACCAGTGTTTTTCCTTCATCCTGGAAAGACGGCCTAGTAACTCCACTCCCTAAAAAATCTAATCCGACATATGAGGATTACCGTCCTATATCCATCCTTTCCTTTCTCTCTAAAGTACTCGAGCGCCTAATATACCAACAGCTGAGCAAATTCCTGTCCAATCATAACCTTTTGAATTCATTCCAATCTGGTTTCCGTCCCGGTCATAGTACGACTACGGCTTTGGTTAGAATCACTGATGATATTCGCCTGGGCATGGATAGTCAGCAGGTTACAGTATTGACATTGCTTGACTTTAGTAATGCCTTCAATACTGTAGACTTTGATGTTTTACTCGCTGTCCTAAGTTCTCTTAACATATCTCCTGAAGTAATTGGTTGGTTTCATAGTTACTTGCAAGGGCGCCGGCAACGTGTACAAATTCAAGACACGTTTTCTGACTGGTCTGCTGTCAAAGCTGGCGTCCCACAAGGTGGCGTGTTGTCTCCTCTATTGTTCTCTATCTTCATCAATTCGATCTGTTCCCACATAACTTCTCTTTACCACCTATATGCAGACGATTTACAAATCTACTCTCAATGTAAGATTGCGGATCTCCCCAATACAATTAGATTAATTAATGAAGATCTTATTCGTATTTCTCATTGGTGTAATTTATTTGGGCTTAAAGTTAATCCATTGAAGACTCAAGCCATTATTATTGGGAGTTCGAAATTAATCTCTCGGTTAACTTTGTCGCTGCTCCCGCCAATCATATTCGATGGGACACTTATCCTATACAGTGACAAAGTTAAGAATTTAGGTATTATGTTCGATCAGACTTTGTCTTGGGGACCGCAAGTTAGTGAAATAAGTAAAAAAATGTTTGCCGGCGGTTGGTTCACTTCGAAGATTACGCAATGTTCTCCCCATTCCTACTAAAGTTGCGCTGGCTCAGTCTCTTCTTTTACCGATCCTTGACTACGCGGACACTTGTTATCTTGACCTAACATACGAGCAACTTAATAAACTTGAGCGGCTTCAAAATTATTGCATAAGGTTTATATTTGGGTTACGAAAGTATGACCACATATCCGAATTCCGCCATAAGCTCAAGTGGCTCCCGATTCGTCTTCGCAGGAATACTCACATTCTTCATCTTCTTTACTGCATTCTGTTCAATCCGACCACTCCTTCTTATTTGAAAGACCGATTTATATATTTAAGTAGTTTACGATCTCAAAATAATCTCCTTCTAAGTACCCCTAGACATTCCTCTTCCTTCTATTCTAATTATTTTACGGTTACCGCTATACGACTATGGAATTCTCTCCCCTTACATATCAAAAAATCTAAATCTCTTCCTATATTTAAAAATAAATTAAAACTTTATTACCTTTCCTCTTAAGTTACTACCTGTCGTCATTAATTTTTTTTTTGTTTCTTTAATCATTTATGTTCTTCTATTTATCTTTCTTTATCATATTCTGTACACCCCTTCCGCTATCTTTTAAAATAGTATCCTCTGCCCTAAGGTTGCCTGGAAGAGATCGCTGTTTTAGCGATAAGGCCGCCTGTTGTACCAATGTCCCTTTAAATATATAAATAATGTAATATGTTCCTTGGTGTACAATAAAGTATATTTTACTTTACTTTACTTTACCCATATGGCAAGTATCTTCTCCATCTTTTCTATAATAACTGGCCTTTTACGAGTTAATCTTGCTGCAGTACTTGATGTTGCAGGTTCACTGGAGTGCACGATTTTGGCCAAATTTTTAAGAATAGTACAGGTAGCGTAGGTTCCGTAGCTTTACCGCCATTCTCCATCTTCCGTAAATTTTTTAATTTTATTTCCAAACTCAAGCTTCTTCGTTCTCTTTTCTTAACCGTTAACATAGTGAATGCGTAGGATTACTTTATATATGCGCTTGTTAAGTTAAAGTGTAAATTACTATGATTAGTCTACGTTATTACAAAAAACAAATGACTGTTGCTCGATCAATGCAATAAAGTAAACATACACACTGTACTTGATTGAGTTTCTCAATTGACCGAACGAACGAACGCACTGTCATTTAGCGACATTAGACCAATTAAATAGAATTGGGCCGATTAGCCGCCGACTAATCGGTGAAGCCGATTAATCGGCCTATTTGTAGTCACCGATTAGTCGGCGATTAATCGGCTAAAATGGCCGATTAATCGGCTTTTTATTTTATTAATTTCAGCAAAGGTTTTTCGTGGTAACTGCGGCTACATTAATATGAGTAAAGCTTTAAATTTAAGAAAAGTATAGTTTCTCTCCCATGCGTAAACTCACGTTAGATTTATATGTAGGTAAATCAAATAAATAATAAAAATAGTAGGTTCATACATAACTTTCATAGAAAAATCAGTCACATGTTTTAATGTTAATTATTCTGGACATAGGAACTTTGGTAAAAAAAGAATCTTAATTCTACTTTTTAACTTTTTCTAATCGTAATGCAGAGTAGTAACACAACAAAATAAAATATTAGTAATATCTTAATAAACTTTTAAAAAACAAATTTTAAGTCTTTCCTTTTTCATAACAAAAAAACTTATCTCTTGATTAAGATTGTTAAACTACACGCATGTAGATTTTTAAAAAACATATAGAACATACTTGTTTCTGTACTTAAAACTAAATTGTTATTGTATTTGTACTAAAAATTAAATCAAATTGTTATTTTTCTGTACTTAAAATTACAATAAATTGTTTTTTCCTGTAATGTTATCAATAAAGAATCTATAATCACCTAATAATTTGTTAAAAAAAAAATACTCAATTTGAAAAAGTATTGAAGGTTTTTTAGAAAAATATTAAATTTTTTTTAACCAGTGGCAAATTGTGATGCGAAAAGGCCAAAACCTCAGCGTTTTCTGGCTGAAGTCGATTTCTATTTGTTTCGTAGATACGAGATATTCCCTGCCTCAGAAAAAAGTCTCTCAATATACACAGAGCTGGCGGGGCAGCAAAGGTAAACTTTGGCTAAACGGGACATTTCTGGATATCTGGAAAAATTTTTATTCCACGATTTGAATTTATCATCGGATAGGGATTGGCTGGGCCGATCAATCGGCCAAAGTACTAATCGGCCCAACTCTACAATTAATGCTTTCGTGTAGCAATTTAGCGCGAAATTTCAAAACCGCGTAAAGCGAATTCGTGTAAAACGGGGTATTACTGTATAAGTATATTGCATATGCGCTGTGCAATTCAAATAAGAATAGGACAGACCTGGCACCATATTGTGATGTCATAGCTGTCAATTCAAACCAGTAAGGTAAGGTAAGCAAAACAGATATTTTTAAAGTAATATTTATTTACACAATAACGATGAACAAAAAAAATTAATTTAAATCTAGCATTTCAATTTCACTCATCTCTGCATCACTGTCTGAGTAGTCATTATTGTGTCATCATTATCATTACTGATGCCTTCCCTTATAAAAATAGAAAATAGATTTACGAACATATATTTTATTTATTTAAAATATTCCACCAACTACTATCAATATTTTAAAGTAAATTATAAAAAAGTTCAATAGTGTCGGTAATACTAAGATTCAGTTAAGTAAAGCAGAAAAAAAAAACATTATTATTAATACGTAAATTAATTTTCTTTCCAAACCATACTTTCAAGTGACTGTTGACAGATTGCTGTCATTTGAAGTCATTAACGTTCCTACTCTTATTTGAATTGCATTGTATCTATTTTCTTATAGACATTTATCTGTGTAATACTGTTGCTGTATTATTTATTTAGATTAGGGCTGATTTTTCAACCCTCAAATAGAACTTGTTCATAGGATTAAATAGAACTAAAACAAATTAAAAATTACAATTGTGTCAATAAAGTAGTTTAAATGTTTTACTATTTTTCGGTCAGATTATAATTTATCTCATAGATAACTTTTATCTGATGATTGAAAAGTCAGCCCTTAATATTCTTTTTATATTTGGCACCTATTAATTACACTATCTCCAAATGTCCTCAGTTGACAGCGGGTGATTGCCAATCAATTTTATTAACTTTCTTTCTTCTTAACTTTTTTGCCAATATTCTCATGGTGTTTACCTTGACCACAGTAAATTCGCACTTGAAACTGTAGTTAATAATTTAATTAAATCAGAGGTAAAACTAACTTACTTTTAAAAGTCCAACATCCCCCTAAACCCTAAAGGTTAAAAACACTTATTTTTTAATGTCTATATTTCAGTTAAAATAGTTGAATCTAAGAATCTGACAAATGGTAAAGTAGAAGAATCACCTGAGCCAGAGGATGATGTGATAGCAGCAAACAGAGCTAAACTAGCGCAGAAATTGGCCTCAAAAAACAAAAAGGAAACCAAGTAAGTTTCTTAAAAACTCTCTTAAAAAAATTGGTGTTACCACACCAATAAATCATCTAAAGCTACCTCACCAATTGATCGAAATTGATCTAAGATCGATCGATTGATTTTCCTCTAAGTAACAATTCTTACTTGTAAAACTTCTGATAATCATTTTGGAATTTTTTCAATCACAACTTCTCGAAAAAATATTTTAAATCCGTTAAAATTGACTAAGTCAGATTTCTGAATGAGGTAAGCTTGGATTGAATTTCCTTTTATAAGGAAAAACAATTATATTGTGATTCTATATTTTTAAGTAGAGTCTAAAAAGAAGAAGAAATTATAATATAGTCTACTCTACTGTAACAAAAAAAGATTTCGATTTTTCAAACTGTACGTAAACTTTTTTTGATGTGTATACATTTTGTAAAATGCAAAAGTCTTGTGTGTTAGTTAGTTCTTCCACTACAATTCCTCCAAGTGGTTGTACTCGTAGTTACTGCTGTTTTCAACAGATAAAGTGACATTATGTGTGCGATGCAAGGATTTTAGCTGGGAGTTTAAGGTTATAATTTGATTATGAATGAATGTGTACTTTTTATTGTATGATGCCTTTTTGAGGGTTTTTTTAGTGCATGCGTTGTGAGTTCATAAGACATTACTTTTTTTAGAATAATATTTTTAAAATGAGTCAGTCAATTTTTAAAATAAGTGATTCAGAGTCTGCAACAGTAGCTAATTGTTCGACAAGTTCTGATTTGCAGAAAAAGAAAAACGCACCTAGGCGAATATGCATTTTTCCTATGTTTGGACTTTAGTATAACTCATAGCGGCCAAAATTACTACAAAAGAATCTCTTTCTTTTTAATTTTATTAGATTTGTAAAGCGAATTCTCGATTATTTTTACCTTCTATTTCGATATTTGACCCACTGGTCCTGGCAACACTAATACACATATTATAGCGAAGGGCGCTAGCATTCGTACCTTGAAAATCTGCAGGTGTAATCAACATCGTACTATGGTAACTTTTCTTTGCTTTGAGTATTGTTAATGTCCTTTTTTAAATAAATTAAACATTGTTCCATCTCTAGACATGCAAAACTGTAAGCTGTCTCCCGCACCATGGTATAGAAATTAAATTAAATGAATGGTTTTTATTCAATATAGATTATTGTATAATACTTATTGAAACTCATTTTTTTTATTTACCACTGGTTCGCAAAAAAACCTCTGTCCTGGGAAGAACCAGCAAGAAACCCAGCGGGACCTTTTTGAAACATATTTCAATTTACAATAAATTTATTTTGTATAATTTTTGTATGAATTTTTATAGAACCAGCATGGTGGCGATCACCTCACACCAAGGAGTTATTTTCATTTATGTATTCATTTATATTATAATAATCCTTTTAGTACAATTTTTCTTTAATAAAAAATTTTAACTTGTTTAATGACATATTTTGTATATAATGCAAAGACTATAGTTTTGTCCTTTAAAAGTGTTTTTCTAGGATTTTCACCCATATCGTGGAAGCAGTTTATCCTATACCTTTAAACGAGCAATTCTTGTATGTATATATATATATATATAGATAATGTATTTAGAAAATGTATTTATTTAACCAAAAAACATTACATAATTAAGCAGTACACTGGTTTCTGCACTAAGCTCTAGGCTTGTATCGCAGGAACCAAGAACATTGACTGACACCGTTTACACCGATAAATACATAGAACTCCGATTAAATTAAAATGAAGCGAAAAATAAATCTTTTATTTTTTTTTTTTATTTTTTTTTTTGTATAAATTAATGCATGAAAGAAAGAGTAAAAAATAGCTAATTTACTCTAGGAGTGCTTGTGTGCGTGCGAACGAGTGTGTGTGCGTGCGTGTGGGTGTGTGGTGTGTGTGTCTGTGTGAGTGTGTTTGTGTGTGGGGGGGGGGATCGTGCTTGCGCGTGTGTGTGAGTGAGTGTAAGTCTACGCGTGTGCATGTATAGGGTCAACTATGAAAGGAAAGTAAGTTTTCCGTTTCCTGATAAGAAGCATGTAGCAGCCAGGTTGTTATTTTGTGTTTGACTTTACTTGTGGACAAAGACCTCAAATCTGGGAAGAGACAGCAGAATTTGTTGTAAATGCTAGGCAGAAGAAATGGTGAGTGGCGTTTGATAAAGCTACTGTGTGAATTGGGAATCGGCACTCGAAAGATCCGACGTTGGCACAGGCTAAGATAATTCGGGGAATTTATTATTTTTCTGTGGGTTAGTATTACTGCCTTTAAAATGTAGATTTGGCGAACCCGTAGTACCTTACATTCCTTGTACAGTTCGTCAGTAGGAAATCTAAAGTTTTTAGACAGCATTACTTTTAGTACTGCTCGCTGGGCCCTCTCGACTTCAAGCATTTTTGATTTGATAGCTCCACCCCAAGCCAGCGTGCAGTAGTATAGTAGGGATTGGGTTAGTGCTTTGTAAACCATTTTCATTGTTTCTTTAGTAGCACAACGTCGTAAAGCTTTCATTATGTAAATGGTTTTCCTAACACTACCCGACAAGTGGCTTAGATGGTTTTTAAATGATAGCTTATCATCAATGATCACTCCTAGATACCTGATGTTATCTGTGTTGCTGATTGTATTACATCCGCAAGAGGGTACTTCAGATACGCAAGTGTGAATTACTAAGTTTACCAGCGAAAATGGTTTTGATGCGAGAGTTTTGTGAAAGGCTATGAACTTAGTTTTTTTATAGTTTCGAGTTAGTAAATTGGAACTTAACCATTTATTCAACACTACCATGCCTTTTTGAGCCGTCTCGAGTACGCTGTCCCAACTTAAATCATTAAATATAATGGCTGTATCATCCGCATAGCATATGACGTCTGCTCTTTGTATGGGTAATTCTAGGATGTCATTAATGTAAATGCAGAATAGGATTGGACCAAGAATACTTCCTTGAGGAACTCCAATACTGATTTTTAATTGCTTACTTGTATGTGAGCCCACTCTTATGCATTGACGCCGATTTGATTATATATATATATATGTATATATATATATATATATATAATCGGAATCTCGGAAACGGCTCCAACGATTTTCATAAAATTTAGTGTCCAGGGAGTTTCGGGGGCAATAAATCGATCTAGCTAGGATTTATTTTTAGAAAATGTCCTTTTGTCCGTGTTTTCAGGCAATAAAAAAACTGCTACAATATAAGAAGGTAAATTTTGACAGACTACTAACGATCGTAATAGCTCAGGTGGGATGTCGGTCGGGCGTGATATCGGAGTTCCGTGGTTCGCGTCCCGTCTTGGGTCCGACTTTATTTTCCTTTTTTTTTTCAAATTCCCTTCTTTTGTGAGAAAATCTTATTTCGAGCCCTTTTTTTTAGTGATTTTTAAAAATAAGAAAAATTTTAATTAAACTAATTGCACTCATGATTTTCATTCAAATAACCAGTTCAGTTTTTTCTATTATGTCAATAAGATCAATAAATATTATTCATGTAATTTTTATCTAAATGTAACTTTAAAAAAACCGAGCAAAGCTCGGACATCCGGGTACTAAACATAAATTGCACAAGGACAAACATCCAAACCCGGAACAATTATTTGTAGACCACGTAACTTGTCCGTGCGGAATTCGAACCCGCAACTCAATGTGAAGCCATTGCTCCAAGTGATTTTAAAGTGTTTATTTATCCAGGAAGTCTCCCAAAAGTCCGAAGGCCGTAGATCGCGTAAAGAAACCACGCGTGTGGGAGCTCGGTGGTGGTTCACGTGACTTGCCTTCCCTGGACTTCAGCAACGACAAGGATGAGGCAGTTAATGACATCATTCCCGATACACAGGTATATTGCCGTTTACTAATCATCATCTTAGGTATGCTTGGAGTTTCTCTGCATAGTAGAATTCGTAATGAGGATATCCTCAGTAACCGGGGTAACAGACATAGCCCAACGGATTAGTAAGCTGATGTAGGTAGAAACAATCCTTAGTGGGAGCCTCGTACTGGTATTGGAAGTGTAGTGCGACTCCTCACAAAATGTGGGCACGATCTGGTAAGCCATGCTGGAAATTAAACAATGGATGCAGGCTAGGGACCATGTTTTATGACTACTCTGAGAAGCCAAGTTAAGGCATAAATCTCATGAAGGGCTGTAATGATGATAACGATGATCATAAGTCTATGGCAGTTCATTTCAAAATCTCAAAGCGTGGCATTTAGTCCGATTTCAGCTTCACCTGTCTAGCTGCTGCCAAATGCACATGTTTGCACATGATGCTTACCCAGATAGTCATTCCATCTAGCAAATAGGCGACTCACATTTAAACTTACATAAGTGTCACATTAAGCATAAGTGTGGCTTCAACATCAGATGTGACCAGCCTCTTTGCAATGTTCGTGTACATTGAAAGTTTCGGTGACCTTGGTTCTCTAGCGATTATCCTTATAATGGATCTTATCTATCAGAAAATCAATGAGCATGGCTCTTTACATTGCATACACTATCAATTACTTGATTAGGATAGGATAAAGCCTTTATTAATTGGCTATAGCAACTCCTTTAATTTTTCAAAAAAAAAAGGCTTCACTCAAAGTAGGATTTTATCCTATATCGTGTGTTTTATATAAATTTCACTTTCACTAACATCCAAACTCGAAACAGTTACTTGTAGGCCTTACAAACAATTGTTCTATGCAGGATTCGAACCCCAAGGCCCTGCAACGCCGCAAGCAGAACCTCAGCCACTGTGCTAATGAGTACATTAATTGTAAATAATCTATTCAAAAACAATAAATCAGATTTTTACAGACTGCCAATAAATAGCATATACTGATTCAAGTATATCTGCTCTGCGCTCAATTATCCACCTGCCTAGCGTACTGACTGTGGGCAAATCTTTCTTTTTTTTTACACGTGGTAGAGGCACGCTGCAGCTGTATTAATTGTATACTTGTAGCATAAATGTGTCGGCTCGACCAGGGTAGGACCACACTCACAGAATACCAGCGTGTAATAACAGCTTAATGCTGCCGTGTTCGTATGGTAAGTGTAATGAACCGGAGACCCTTTTTACTGGAAAAGAGGCATTGCGAGTGACAACGTATCTATATTCTGATTTGCAAACGAGGATATATGTAGATGTCTATGAGCCACAGCAATTACATACAATCAGGTGGACTTTGTGCATGCTTGTCACCATTATCATATAAAAAAATAGTATATTACACAGCACAATTTAGATTTTTTAGCACTTATATCCAAAAACTTTATTATAGTTGATTACAAGAAAAAGTTATGAATATAACTTGGTAAATTAATTTCATGATTGAAGTTTACTTGTGATATGTTGTGACTAAGGAAATCTTGTTTACAGCTCGTGGGGAAAATGGCGGGAGAAATTAAGGACTTGGAAGTGGAATCAGACTACAGCAGCAGTGATGAAGAGGTAGAACAGAATACAAAAGAAAGCCCCAAGAAGTCTGGTGGAATGTTCAGTCTGTTTAAAGGTGATTGAATGTTATCTAATATATAAAAATTAATGTTTGTTCGTATTTTATGCGCTGCCATACCGTTCATCAAATTATGGTAAAACTTAGCTTATTGCTAGCACTCGCGCGAAGGTTATAGGCATAGTACAATTAACTTAAACTAGTGACGCGCGTATCGTACCGATAATTAATTCGAAAATTATATAACATCCAATTTCAATAATATCATTCCTAATTAAACAATATAACTCTTCCAAATTTAGAACAAAATTTCCATAATTATTGTATCTTCTGCGGCAGCAACGCACTGGGTACCAGCTAGTTGTATATAAATACTAGCGGGCCAGCCGAATTAATTTTATCTCAATTCAAGCATATATGTGTTTGCTACACACTCACATTTTGAGGGACGAGGCTGCTCGCTCTGTAGGAAATACTTGAAATCTGACTCCCTACATTCCCCAGGTAGTGCTAAACGAGCAGCACCAAATCCGGTGGTAGGTTTCGGCCGCTGGCTTTTCGGTTACCATCCATAATAATTATATAAATAAATATATATAAGATAACTAGCAAAAATCCCAGAGTGGCTCTGGTTAGCGACCGAGCGAAGGAACTCGATTGCGATCTGGGGGGGGGAGGGGTCTTTGTGTCCCCGCAGTCTTCAGATCTAGTACCCATGGACGCAGTAATTCTGGTAGTACTACGTAGTACTTGGTTGCTAATTCAACGCCTCATTCAACTGCCATTCTCCATCCTTATTCACTCTTAAAAAGAAAAGTATGGCTAAACAGCGGTTGCACATCCCCTCATTAAGTACCAGTTTGAGACTGAGAAGCCGCACATACTTCTGGCGGAGACCCAAAATGGATGTCCATTGAATGCGGCGTACCTCGACTATCCTGGATTCTCCCTGGAGAACAAATCCCATGTCTACGTGCCGGAGTCTGTGTGTACGTCCGCAATGATATCTGCTTCTGTGTGTTACACAGGCACGTGTCTGTCACCTTGAAGACCCCATTTTTTCGACAATCTGGGTGATGGTGATTATTTGATCATCTTAGTGAGGCTGCTGGCCCTAAGTCGGTATCCTACTGCACAGCTGGTTTTTCTGGGGGACTCTAATGCCTGTCACTCAAAACTGGCTGTTCCCATACCAGAAGACCGACCATGCTGGAAGAGAAGCGTGGAATTTTGCCTTGACACTAGGTCTCTCACAGCTGGAAGGAAGCGACTATACCCGATGTAGACGGTCGCAGCCAATTGCTTGGACCTTCTGCTGACTACTGAACCTGACATTAGAAGTACAGGTTACCTCCCCTTTGGTTACATATGACCACTCTCTGGTGTAATCTGTATTGTAATATTCTTCACCTGATTACGCGTCCCAAGTTGTTTGACGAATATGGCGGTTCAAGTCAGTTGATTGGGTTGGGATGCGACCCTTTTTTTTATAGAAGAGGGGAAACGAGCGCGCGGCTCACCTGATGTTAAGTGACTACCGCCGCCCATGATCAACCGCAACACCAGGGGAATTCCAGGTGCTTTGCCGGCCCTTTAGAAAGGAGTAAGCTCTTTTCTTGAAGGTCCCCAGGTCGTATCGGTCCGGAAAAATCGCCGGTGGTAAACTATTCCACAGAGAGGTTGTACGCGGAAAAAACTCCTTTTGAAACGTACAGTGGTGGACCGCCAAGCATCCAGACGGTGTGGATGGTATCGGGACGTTTGCCGCGTAGTGCGTTCACGAAATTTGGTGGCTGGGAATAATCCGACCAATTCCTCAGAGCACTCCCAATGGTATATGCGAAAGAAAATGCAAAGAGATCAAAATCTCTTCGCAGCGCCAGTGAATCGAGCTGATCGGTAAGCACTCGGTCGTCGACGATTCGAGCCGCTCTGCGCTGGATGCGGTCAAGTGGAAAAAACTTTTTCGCATCCTATCCTCGGCGGGAGATCTGTTTCTCTTTTGCGGATCCCTCGGGCTGCGCGGATGCGATAAACGATGTTGCGTCAAGCTATGGAGTATTTTATCCGCTTTTCTGACGCTTCCACCGGTAGCAAAGCTCGCCATGGTTTAACGCTGAATGTGCCCAAACTGAAAAGCGCAAGGATTTAGCGTACCTATCCTGGGTTGACGCTCAAAACCAGAGAGCTTTCAACAAGACCGCCAGCCCTACTAAAAAGCATTACGGAAAGTTAGTATAGATCGCATTAAACATATTGGCAAAAAACTCTCTGCCAAACCATCGCGCACTAGAGCTTTTTCGTCTCTCACCAAAGCGGTCAAGAGAAACTTCTGTCGACCTACACTGCTTCCGCTGGTAAAACCTGATGACACCCTGGCGTATACAGCTAAAGAGAAAGCGGACTTGTTCGCGTCTCGCTTTGCTTATAATTCACGTTTGGACTGTGGCAACAACGTTCGACCTAAATGACCTTACTTATGGACCTCGATGTCGGAGGATCATATCACAAATAAGGACTGCCTCGTTGGTCTAGTGGTTGTAGTAGTGCGACTGCTGATCATGAGGTCCTGGGTTCGAATCCCGGGTCGGGCCAACAAAATCAATTATTGAGTTTTTCCGTGAAGAAATTCTCAGTAGCTACCCGGAGTCAGGAAGTTGGCGGTGTCTCACTCCCGTGCCTCGGAAAGCACGTAAAGCGGTTAGTCCTGCGCCTGATCTCTATCTGGTCGTGTCGGTTTACCGTCCCATCGGATTATGAGAGTGAGGGAATAGAGAGTGTACCTGTGCTTGCGCATACACTTGGGCACTGTAATCCTGTCCTTCGCCGATGGCTAGCCTCCGTTAAGGCAGGCCGCCATGGCCGAAATTCGGTCTGGAGGACATTAAGAAGTTTCTTAAAACCTTGCGGTGCTTAGACGTAAATAATGCTAGTGGACCTGATGGTATACCAGCTATAATTCTAAAGGCTTGTGAACCTGAGTTGTCCTGTGCTGACACGCTTGTTCCGCCTCTCATTTAGGACGGGAATAGTGTCAAAATCCTAGAAGCTGGCCAACGTGTAGCCTGTTCCAAAAAAAGGGATCCGTACTGACCCCGCTAATTATCGGCCAATCTTAATTACCTCCATACTCTGCAAGATTATGCAGCGTATATTGAACGCCCGCTTTATGGCACACCTAGAACAGAATGACCTCCTCAGTAATTGTCAATACGGGTTTCGCTGAAATCGGTTAGCTGGAGACCTTCTAGAGTATACCACATACGTATTGGGCTAGGCACTCGAGCACTTGCTTTTTCCCTTGATGTCTCGAAGGCATTTCACAGAGTTTGGCACGCTAGCCTGCCTGATTGACTGTGTAAAGGACTTTCTGAGTGAACCGTTTCTCCGGGTCGTCGAAGATGGCTGCTCATCCCATCTTGTGGCAACTAACGTGGTGTTCCTCAGGGGTCCGTTCTCTCCGCAACTCTCTTTCTGCTGCATATTAGTAATCTGTTTATGCCCGGTATCTATGGGAATGCACAGTTGTGAAAAGATACCAACTAAGTTTTCGGGCCAGTCGCGATCAAATCCAGTCCGAAAGAGAAGCATTGGTGCAAATGTGTGAATCTTACACTACAGGCAGTCTCCGAATGGGGCGATGCCAATGTTGTAATTCAACGCCTCCAAAATTCAAGTGTGTCTTATCACTGCAAAAAGGAGCCAGCTCATCTTGGCTCCTTCTTTTCGAAATGTATCACTGGAATACACCGCCCGCCTTCAGTTGTTGGGGGTTGAGATATCCTCAAATCTGAACTTCGGGCGGTTCATTGAGTCCAAGGCCAAAACAGCTGCAAGAAAGCTAGGAGTCCTTGTAAAGGTGCGGCGATACTTCACGCCGGGACAGCTACTTACTTTATGGTTGATTGTATGGTCATTAATTGGCTCCAAATTCGAGACAAGTCAGTGCTTACCCGATACTGACATAGATAGTTTAAATTGATTTGGAGTCAGTATAGAGCTGACGCGCCAGTGCTGACTTCAATATTCCTGCTTTAATGTTTCGCACCATCGGACGTAGCGTTGTATCAAAAATTCAAGCGAAAATGACGCGAAAATTAAACGACAGCGTAAGCTTAAGATTGATTCAGTTGTATGGCGAATATGAATGTCTATGGGATATGCAATGTGTGCAAGTATAGAAGGGCGAGGGCCTACCGAAGTTAGAACTTAGACATAGATCTTCGACCACGTCCAAATGGCTACAGATTCGTTGCTACAGCAGATCTCCTCCGCAGAGATCGTGATCCTCGGCGACTTTAACGCCCATCCCGCCGGTTCACGTTTGCATTCTGCAGACTGCCGCCGTGTTTGGCACTGTAGGTCAGCCAATTGGGATGGGATGCGGTCTTTCTTTGCATCCTACCTTTGGGGGTGGGTTTGCTTCTCGCCGGACTATCCCAACGTTGTTGCAGATTCTGTCGCTGATGTGGTACTTCAGGGTATGGAACTTTATATTCCTTCCTCTGTGGTGCCCATTGGTGGCAAATCTCAGCCATGGTTTGGTCGCTCCTGTAAAATAGCATAATGCTATAAGCAGGAGTGCTACCAAGCCTGGGCTGACGCATCAACGTCCCGGGATGTAAACACCAGCGCTCTAAAAAAGAAGTATAATTCCGCCTCCAGGTCCTTCAAAAGAGTCATTGCCAAGGCAAAGTCAGAGCACTTGGCAGAATTGGCGATAAACTAGTTCGCCTTCCTTCTGGAACCCGTGCATTCTGGTCTCTCGCCAAGGCTGTCCAGGGGAATTTCTGTCAGCCATCTCTTCCATCTCTGCACAGGGAGGACGATTTACTGGCCCATACCGCAGAGGAGAAAGCCGACCTGCTAGGCTCTTTCTTTGCGTCCAACTCGACTCTCGATGACGGGGGGAGTACGCCGCCGACCATCCCGCGGTGTGAGCGCTCCACGCCGGAAGTGCCGTTCACACAGCGCTCGGTTCGCAGGTTCGCACAAGTCGAGTGGGCCTGACGGAATCACCCCAATTGTGCTGAGGACGTGTGCTCCAGAGTTGGCACCGGTTTTAACGCGTTTTTTCCGGTACTCCTACTCCCTAGGCGTAGTCCCAAAATCATGGAAGACGGCTTCCGTCCACCCGATCCCTAAAAAAGGCGACCGCTCAGACCCGTCCAACTACCGGCCTATAGCCATCACCTCCTTGTTCTCCAAAACAATGGAGTCCATTGTAAACTGCCAGCTCATGAGGTACCTTGAGGATCACCAGCTGATTAGTGATCGCCAATACGATTTTCGCCGTGGTCGATCAGCTGGTGATCTTCTGGTTTAAATAACTCATAGATAGGCGGAGGCAGTAGAGTCCAAGGGGGAGGCATTGGCCGTTAGTTTGGACATTGCGAAGGCCTTCGATCGGGTTTGGCACAAAGCGCTTCTTTCGAAGCTCCCTTCCTATGGGCTTCCCGAGAAATTGTGCTATTGGATCACCAGCTTTCTTGCAGATCGGAGCATCAAGGTCGTTGTAGAGGGTGCAAGCTCCGATTACAAGCCTATTAATGCTGGTGTTCCACAAGGCTGCGTGCTATCGCCAACGCTGTTTCTTCTGCATATCAATGATATGTTGCAAACCCGTAACATTCATTGCTATGCAGATGACAGCACTGGTGATGCTCTGTACACTGGCCGTGCCAATATTTCTCGGGAAAACCTCTCCGAGTACCGGGACAAACTTGTGTCTGAAATCGAGTCTTTGCTGAACAGAGTCTCGGATTGGGGGCGACTAAATCTAGTCCAGTTAAACCCTCAGAAGACACAAGTTTGCGCGTTAACCGCTAAAAAGAACCCCTTTGTCGTATCTCCTCAGTTTCAAGGCACTCCCCTTGTTGCCTCAGCCAGTATCGGAATCCTCAGCGTCGACATATCGAGTGACGTGCAGTTTCGTGGTCACTTGGAAGAGAAGGCCAAATTGGCTGGCTTCTAAAAAGCTTGGCTCAGCAGAGCGAGACAGTATTTCATGCCGGCACACCGCCTGCAACATCCATGGGCTGGAGCTCCCCAGTACCAGCTCCTTCCACTTAACCGCATCCAGTGCAGAGCAGCCCGAATTGTCGACTACCGAGTGCTTTCCGATCGGCTCGATTCACTGGCGCTGCGAAGAGATGTTGCATTTCTTTGCATTTTCTTTCGCATGGGGAGTGTTCTGAGAAATTGTTCGGATTAATCCCAGCCGCCAAATTTCGTGAACGCACTACGCGGCAAACGTCCCGATACCATCCACACCATCTGGATGCCTGTCGGTCCACCACTGTACGTTTCACAAGGAGTTTTCTTCCGCGTACGACCTCTTTGCCACCTCTTCTATAAAAAAAAGATAAACTACTAAAGAAGTTTCTTTTTCGATAGATCTTTTAACATTTCCGTCAACTATTACAACAGCAGATACAAGAAGTTACCACGACTACGGAATGCATGTAAACAGTGCGAGTCAGTTCTCGGCGCCAGTACTGGTGCCTGTGTGTGTACTGACCCTGTTTAAATCAGCCTTTATATAAGGCGCAAGTCCGGTTATCCGTGGAGTATTGCTGCCATATATGGGCTGGTGCTGCAAAATGCCACCTAGCAGGTTTTGATTCAATGAAAAGATGTGCTAAGATGTGCAAAGATGTGCTGAGGCTTATTGGTGACCCGAATTAGGTAAAACCAACCTTACCAGCCTTGAACAAAGGCGCAAATTAGCCAACCTTTCGGTTTTCTACAGGACGCATTTCGGAGAGTGTGCGCAGGAATTGCATAATTTAATTCCTCCCTCTCCCTTCCACCTTCGGACAACCAGACGTTCGGCCAGTCTCCACTCTTTCGTTGTTGACTTACCGCGCATTTGAACCAAACAGTTTGCTACGTCGTTTATTACGCGTACAGCAAAAGAGTGAATAAGTTGCCAGCATCTGTGTTTCCATCCGAATACAATGTGGATGTCTTCAAGGCAAGAGTTAATAGGCTTTTGTTAAGTCGGTGCGCTTCACCATCTTGGGCTACATCACCACTTACCATCAGGTGGGATTGTAGTTAAGTGCTGGCTCAGAATAATATAAAAAGAGCTCTCAAATGCGCAAGAGACCAAAATGAGATATTTAAAATTGATTTTGTTGTTTTTAAACAAAAATAAAATATATTTATTAACCGCAAAAAAAATTTTAATTTCTTTCAAGACTTTTTTCAAAGTTCTGTAAGAGTTGAGTATGAAAAATTGTTTGCTCAAATAATTTTTTTTTATTATTTGGCGGATGAATACGAGTGTTGTTAGAACTAACAAAGGTTGGGAATTTAATACAGAATTATTTAAAAATCAAGGTACGCTAATATAAACTGTACTTCATAGGCAGAAAGAACTTTTAGAACGCAAGATCGTTTGGGTACTGAATTACCCATGGCCGTTTAACGAGACTTTCAATTTGGGTAATAGACTACCCATGGCCGTCTGTGGGTTTATGCAAAAAGTCAAAATAGGACAATTATAATTAGTTAAAAAGGGAAAACTTTAATCAGTTAAAAAAGGGAAATTATTTTTTGAAAAAAGTGAACAAACACACCAGAATGCATCCACGATGATTTTTGTTACAATTTACTTTTTATGGGTAAATAAAATAGCTAATTTTGTTTTAGGCCTAGTGGGATCTAAAGCATTAACTGAGGAAACGATGCGCCCAGTGCTGGACAAACTGCGGGACCATCTCATAGCCAAGAACGTTGCGGCCGATATCGCCAACAAACTGTGCGATTCTGTCGCTACCAAGCTGGAAGGAAAAGTGAGTGATACAAAATATCCATTATAATACCATTTACTTCTAGGTAAGGCTATTTTCTGCCTAAAAAAGACGCTGTTAGTATCACTCTTACCAAATTCTGTCACCAAGCAGCAATGCCTTCACTTCTCTGTTTTGGGTAGAATGGTGTGGCCGTGGAAGGAAAAGGGGAAATCTCCCATCAGGCAAAGTGTTCAGCCCGGGAAGCGGTCAACACTCTATGTGATAATTCGGAGCTATCCTATATGTACTGTTTTACTTCAAGACTTTGTTAGCTCGATTTAGGCTTCGATATGTTTCACACGGTAAACCACAAGGGTAAAGAGATCCAGTATAATCTCAGGCTATGCATTCCAGTCTAAGCCTTATCGATGTCAAAGCATGCATGGCCTTTGATCAAGCTGTTTGAAGTTTTGCTGTCTTTGGGGATATATTAGCAATTTTTTTAACGTTATTAGCCAGTGTTTAACTACAACACTACTTGGCGGGAAGTGGGTACAGTGCGATTTATTATCTGTGACTTCAGTGACTATCGTAACAAATTATTCCATTCCATTTCGGTACGCATTGCAAAAAACGAAAAAACAGTTTGGTTCGAATTCGATAGCAAACAGGTGGAGACCCACCGACCGTCTGGTTGTCTGATGCTGGAAAAGGGATTGAGGAATAGATTCCTGTAATCCTTGCGCGTTTGCTATCACATGGATATTAACTAGTCAGTTAATTTAATTTTATATAAAATATGTATGTATTCTTTTTTTACAGGAATAGCTTAGCTGACCCGACAGACACTGTTGTGTAAATATAACATTCATTAATAACTCCACCAGCGCCACCTATAGGGTCTAGATTTTGCAATTTTATTTTCTGGGAATAATAAACCAACGTATATTAGTTATTTAGTTATTTTTGTCCATAAAGATAGAACTTATTAATAACTTGACTACGGGGCGCCATCTACCGGATCCTAGAATACCTATGAACCATAGCCTCGGTATATTATATGTGTATATTGTTGGAGTAGTCTCTAACCTCAATCGGTCAACTGGTTCAGAAGTTAACTGTTACTAACAAACATATCAGCTTTATAATAAACATATATTTGAGTTTTAAAATTCTGCATTACTTCGCCAGGTGCTTGGTACGTTCGATAGTGTCGCGAAGACGGTGCGCAGTACTCTGACGGAGTCCCTGGTTCAGATCCTGTCTCCGAAGCGTCGCGTCGACATCCTGCGCGACTGTATGCACGCTAAGCAGGAGGGACGTCCGTACGTTATGGCCTTTTGTGGGGTGAGTGATTGTTTTATTGTCAATATGCAACTTTTATATTGAAGTATTTTTGGACTCTTTGATTTTTTTAAAAACCTTAATAGGATTTTGTCTTATATGGTGGAAGTGCTTAATATATGCTCTAAGCAGGTCCTAATTTACTCACAGGATAATGAGGGCTAATAATTGTCCGTTCACCAGATGTCGCTAGTTGACTATGAGGTGAAAAGTTTGTTACACATTGTCATTTAATTGAGAAGTTCGTTTTAAATAAAAGTTTATCAGCTTCCAGAGTATTATATTAACACACAAAACTATGCCGCAATGGTTTGCTTTATATTTTCCTATTTTGAATCTTCATTTTTTAATTTTACTACATACTTTTATTAATATCTTTGACTCAGTTTATTTGTTTTTAATCTAACTAATATAAAATATAACTAATAGTATGTAAAGATTTTTTTATAAGATTAGATTACAAAAAAAATTACATTAACCTTTACATTTTCCGAACAAATTAACTGCCCTGCTATGAAATCTGTCAAATACTACACTTAATTTTTAAGTGGCACTGCTCTGATGGGAGAAAAAGTCGTGGATGCTCTCATTAGGCTAGAGCCTAGGGCGCATGGTTAAGTGGATGCTAAGCTTGCCGTGGCACGTGGTACGTGGCACACTAATTTAAAGAATGTAATTTAGTATAATATATTAAATTAACAATAGAGTAAGTGCCGCAATAGTTTTACTTGTGAAGTATCATCAATGATCTGTGGAGCTATCTTTACTACTGCCGATACATATGTATGTATAATGTTTTCTTATATTTACGCGAACACTACACATTGAAATAATACTAGTTTTTACGGAATTTATCGCGTATATTTAACTTTTTTAACTTGGAACTAATTCTAGAACCATGTTCATTTCGAACAAAATTTATGTAATATTCTTTTACGAGCCAAGCCATAAGGTTATGGAATGAACTTCCACTCCAAATTCAACGTGCACAAACTTTGGAAAGTTTCAAAAATGACGTCAAGAAGCATTACCTAACACTTTGTGGTTATTGATAACCATTTCTAGCAACGGATAGTTATTCTGTGTTTTTTTTCCTCTTAGTTTTGTATTTATTTATTTATTATCTATGTTTATATATGTATGCGTATATATTTATATATATACCTATTTATTAATATGTATGTTTATTTTATTATTATTTTTTTATGTATTATTGTGGTATTTTAACAAATATAGTTTAGTTTATTTAGATATTAGAATGTAAGTGTAACATAAAACGCACCACCTCCTACTGTTCTTAATTCCAGTTTCTCCTTAGCCCAAAGGTTGTCTGGAAGAGATCGCTCTTTAGCGATAAGACCGCCTTATTGTACATACGTATATATTAAGTTTTCTCTGTAATATATTTATTCGTTGTATATGTGTGGTCTACAATAAAGTATATACTACTACTACTACTACTTTTTAAATACCCGACGTTTCGAACGCTTTATAGCACTCGTAGTCACGGGCGGGACTGAGATGTTCAACGTCCAGATGTCATAGTTAACCGCGGTTACCATAGATTAAAATGCTTATATTATGCGTATATTGTAATATTTTTAATGGAGTCGTGTCTTTAATGCTTGGATGTACTATGTATCAGCAGTTTAAGTTTTATTATTATCTGGTATATTCAAAATGAAAGAACCGCCAGCTATTAGAGGCCATGAGATCTCACTAGCGTTTCTGCGTCACCACTTACAACCGTAGGACAAGGTGAGGCGATGAATTCCAATACATTACCACTGCATGCTGAAATGAGAAGGGGGAATGTTTAATTTAATTTTAAGGTCCGATCCTCATTTGCCGTTAACAGTTCGGTCTCGGTCCGATCTCAGTCTGACTTATTTTATTATTGGAATGGGATTTGAGCGAAACAGTAGGATAGTATGAATGCACCCACATATTTTTTACTTGACGATATTTGTATGTGCGTGCATAATAAATTAGACTGAGATCGCACCGAGACCGAACTGTGAACAGCAAATGAGGATTGGTCCTAAGTGGGTCTCACATTGCTTGGTACTGGCCTAGCAAGCGTAAAATAGTTTAAATATCTAGGACTCCACATTACTGAAAATTGTAAGGATGATGTTATGGATATTATGAGAGAGAAAGGCACTGTCTGTCCATGGAAGTACGAGCTGCGGAATTTCTGCATGGTTTTTAACATCCGTTTCTGCTTCTGATTCCGCAAGTTTTATAACGGAATTTTGAACGGAACTCAGCGACGCATCCACATAAATAGATTTATTGTCATCATCATCATCATCATATTACAGCCCTTTACAAGTCCACTGCTGAACATAGGCCTCCCCCAGGTATGCCACAAAGCACGGTCCTGAGCCACCTGCATCCATCGACTTCCTGCATGTCTTACCAGGTCGTCACTCCATCTAGTGGGGGTCGCCCTACACTTCGTCTACCGGTACGAGGCTGCTACTCGAGAACCTTTTTTCCCCAACGGTTGTCTTTCGAGCTATATGGCCGGCCCATTGCCGCTTCAGCTTACTAATCCGTTGGGCTATGTCGGTTACTCTGGTTCTACTGCGGATATCCTCATTTTTAAGTTTATCACGCAAAGAAACTCCGAGCATAGCCCTCTCCATAGCTCGCTGAGCGACTTTGAGCGTCCTCATACGGCCAGCAGTGAAGGACCACGTCTCAGTTCCATATGTCATCACTGGCAACACGCACTGGTTGTACAACTTAGTTTTCAGGTTTTGAGGTATACCCGACGAGAAGATGTGTTGTAATTTCCCGAACGCTGCCCAGCCGAGTTGAATCCGTCAATTGACCTCTCGATCGAAGTTGGACTTATCTAGCCGGACTATTTGTCCCAGGTAAATGTACTCGTCAACAACTTCGAGCTTAGTGCTTCCAACAACTACCGGCATAAGTGTGACATGGATATTAAACATGATCTTTGTTTTGTCCATGTTCATCTTAAGACCTATCCGTTGGGAGGCACAATTGAGGTCATTGAGCATAGTGCTTAAGTCCTCCAGCGATTCTGCCATAAGGACTATATCGTCGGCAAATCGAAGGTGAGTGATGTACTCGCCATTGATGTTAATACCGTATCCTTTCCGCCATTGATGTTAATACCGTATCCTTTCCAGTCCAGTAGCTTGAAAACGTCTTCCAATGCAGCGGTGAAGAGTTTCGAGGAAATAACGTCACCCTGTCTCTTACACCTCTCTGCAGTTGGATAGGTTTCGTACTCTGGTTCTGTACTCGGATAGCCATCGTAGCCCTACTGTACAAACACTTCAGCACTTTGATATACCGACAGTCAACTTGGCACCGCTGAAGAGACTGTAGCACCGCCCAAATTTCGACGGAATCAAAGGCTTTCTCATAGTCCACATACGCCAGGCAAAGTGGCAGATTGTACTCTTCGGACTTCTGTACAATTTGCCGAAGGATATGTATGTGGTCTATGGTACTAAAGCCTTTTCGGAAACCGGCTTGTTCGGAAGGCTGGAAGTCATCGAGTCTGCGTGCGAGACGATTCGTAATGACTCTCGAAAACAGCACGTAGACGCGGCTCAGAAGGGATATCGGTCTGTAGTTCTTCAAGAGGGCGTTGTCACCTTTCTTGAAGAACAAGACCACCGCACTTCTGCTCCACGCCTCCGGAGTAGTGCCACCATGGAGGACGGAATTAAAGAGCCTCTGAAGGACTTCAAGTACCGGTTTTCCAACCGCTTTCAGAAGCTCCGCTGTAATTCCATCCTCGCCCGGGGACTTGCTGTTTTTAAGGTGCTGGAGAGCCATTCTAATCTCGCTCAGACTGACGTCCGGGATATCATCGGAATTTATTGTATTTTTAGTTAATTAGAAATTTAAGTCGTGTGTGTAATTTAATTGCAATCATGAAGCCGAAAACAAGTCCCGTTTGGAACTATTATTTTTAGATGATGATTAAGCAGCCAGATGTAAATTATGTGAAAAAGATACTCGCGAAAAAGGCTGCACAACTACCGCTTTAAAGAACCATCTTAAACGCCGAAGAGTTTGCTGAGTTTTAGAAGTTAATTGAAACTGTAAAACTTTCGTCGCAAACTAAAAAAACAAATGGTCAGTCAATGTTATAGTTAAAACCATATTTTAGTTAAAACGTGTTTTCTCCAGTTAAAAATAGTTTTTAATAAATGCCTTTGTTATAACTTAAATTTGCAAATTAATTAGATAGCAGATATGTTTGCGTGAAGTTTATATTATATATTTGTTCGGATATAATGATCTATACGAGTGTAAGAGTGAGCGTAAGTGTGAATACGTATGCATGTGTGAATAGGTTCAATATTTAAAAGGCATAATTTGTAAAAGCAGTTGCAAATAAATCATCACGTAGTAAACACGTCTTTCTGTGAGTACAAACTCTTACAAACCAAAGTGATCCCTAACATCTATTATATAGTGGTCCTTCGAGCCGGATTTCAATTCGACCTACGACGTTCCTGCGCCGCGCGATAATACAAAAGGACTGGTCGAGCGACGAGCTTAGAACAAAAGAAGACGTTTGCGTAAACAAGTTTTGCATAACGTTTAATGCACCATATGGCATCGAGTTGTAGATTGGAAAGAAATAAATTATTATAACACGGAAATAAGAAACAACATTCGAGTTTATATACGATTTGAAGATAGTTTTATCTACTTATACCGAAAATGGCTAGTACACCGGAACAAATACTAAATGTGTTGGAAGATACAGCTATGCTGTTAAGAAAAACTCAAACAAATTTAAAGAAATGTCTAAAGCAACGTCTAACAAGGGGTTACATAGAAACACGTATTAAAAGCGTTGAAGAATACTGGTCTATATATAAAAAGGCACATGAAGAATTAGTGAAGTGTGTTCCAAAACCGAAACGACAAGATATTCCGTATTTCGTTAATGAAGAATATTTTATTCAGGAAGATTTATATATTTGTATCTTAATGATTTATTA